TTTTAAACACAACATAAATAACGAGCTATAGAAATCCTTATGGCCAAGCAATAAGCTGAAAATAAACCCCAAGATTTAAGTATTATCACCACAGTAGGGGATATACCACACACACATACATATATTTACACAGACCACATGTATAATTCTAATGCCAAAAACGTAAGCCTGTGCTCAAGTGATTTAACAAGAACTATTTTCCAGCATCTCAAACCATTTCCCATGCTGCTTCAAATAAGCAATAAATTTTTTCTCAGCTGGGAAACTTGAGGCCAAAATGTTACATTAGAATAGTACGTCAAGTATGATAAAGAACAAAATTGAGGTTATAAACAAGCATCAAACACTTGTTTTGTAGCTAAAGCAAAACCATAATTCTTTTTTCTTTTGACAATGTAACAAACTTACTTATGAAACTTTTCAAACTTAATAATTCACTGTTCAAAATCAGTTTAAATTAATTATGGAGATTTTGTCTTAAAATGTAATTTGAATCATCAATTATCTCTCTGTTAATTAGATTTTAATAAATTTACAGATTTTAAATTGAATTTTAGAAATCTTCACAAAAAAAAAGATAAAGATCAAAACTGTGGTTATAAACAAGCATCAAACACTTGTTTTGTAGCTAAAGCAAAACCATAATTATTTTTCTATTCAGGTGAAGTATTCAGTTAGAAACGTTTACAAGTTTTGTATCATTACATTGGAAAGAAAGAGAAATTATACACTTTCTAAGAAACACAATGTGTGAAACTGTTTGAAATCCCATTTGTTTCATGCTTCAGACTTCATATCTGTTGTTAATGCAGATGACCCTTGTAAATGTTACAAACTCTATATGTGATTTTAATGCTACAGTGAAACAAAAAAGATATATATATTTATTTATTTGTGTTAGAATTTTTACGCTAAACTACAGAAGGGTATCTGTGTATGGCATGGACTATTCTTGTTTGACCAAACAGTGGTATTTGACTGTGAGCTTTATAGTACACCTATGGCCCCAAAGTGCATGAGCATATTTATGCAGCAATGGGACATGGGCCATTAATCCTCAGACTCCTAGTCCTGGGATGCTAACTATTAGGGTCTGGTCCTGAACAATTATACACATATCACAAAACATAATTTAAACTACACATAAACAGTTACAGAGAAAAATATTCACAATATATATATAATTTAAATGTTAGTAATATTTAATAAGTTGCTAGATGGTAAACTGTTTTTTTTTGTTATTAAGCACAAAGCTACACAAAGGGCTATATCTGTTCTGCCCACCATGGGTATCGAAACCCGGTTTCTAGCGGTATAAGTCAGCAGAAATATCACTGTGCCACTGGGGGGCAATGGTAAACTGAATAATCACCTTCTATTATATATTATATACTCCTATTTATAGAACTAATATTAAGAACCAAGCTTCTGCATATTTTCATTTACATATTTTGTTACTGAGCAAATGTGTGGTTATAAATAATACTACTTTAACTGCAATTTTATTTAGAAAACTGAATGTTTTTGTATCTACTGTAATAACATATTTTAAGTGACTCAATATTTACATGTATTTGATTTTAATTAAACATTTAACAGTTTGAAAGAAACAAAAATTAAACTAATCTAGCACTTTTACGTATATATTATAATTTTTAAACAACCAAATGAAACATGACAAAAAATTCATGATATCCTTATTGCATAGTAACTTGGACTGTTTATAAAACATAAAAAATTAAAACTTTTTCATCCAGTTCTAATTTAAAGATATATATGGATTATTTTTTACCTCTTTTGCATAATTTTACTGAAAACTACTGATGTACAAGAAGTGTTCATATGTAAAGCTAAGTTTTGTAAAGGACATAAAATTCTTTACAAAATTTTGTTTTTCAAAGAAATTTACCAATTTTTATAAAAAATAAAAGATTAACACTACAGTTCTCAAAATATCATTTATTAGAATATCTGTATTCAGAAACCTATATCTTTAACAATAAGTTTTTGAAAATTTGTTACTGCAATGTTTCCTATGAAGAAGGCAGTACACAGATCTTGCTACTTACATGTCTAAAAATGACATCATATTCCAATAGCTTAGATGTTAAATAACTTTTATCGAGTATTTTTCAAACCAACTGAGTTTGATCAGGATAATGGCTACTAATAATCATTTTCACAGAATAAAACAATACAAAACTCACTAATTTATCATCAAAACAAAAATTACTGCCACATTCATGTAATAATTTGTGTACATCAGCAGATCTATCCATGAATGAGGCTTATTCAGCAGAGTCAAGAAAAATGAAACTATACTATTAAACACTTGTTGTCTATATGCAAAGAAAAAGTATCAATTTACCTATTTAGTTGTAAATAAAAAGAGGATATCTATAGTTATTTCCAATATAAGTACTACTGTTTGGAAACTGGATTGTGAGTTTACTTACTTAAAACCAGATAGGTTCTTAGTTTGTAAAACAGTAAACAATGTTTTGTGTGAAAGTCATTCTTCTAACTACCAATCAATTCCAATGTAACCTGAATTAGAGTATTTTTCCAAACTATACAACAACCCAAAGCTAACCCTTGAATCATTTCTTAGTACTGTAAATACATCTGCTCTGAAATATATTTGTGGAACCTGTAAATGAACTCAATATAATCTTGTAAGTAATTATAATGTTAAATCAATCTAAACCCATGTAATCTTTCTGGCAATTATAAATTAAAGTCAATTTAAAAATAAACTTTAATTAATCTTTTTTTACTAATTGTAAATGAAAATCCATTTAATATCAAAATTAAACTTTTTATGATGATTTATTCCAAACTAACTATTTACTTGACTTTTGGGTAACAATATATATATATATATATATATTAGTTTTTACAGTTATAAAGTTTAAACCATCATAATTACAGTTTTTCTGAAATTTTACATTAAAACATCAAAATTAATTCAAAATATTTTCCCAATATTTTATATTAAACCCTAAATTAACTTACAGAGTGACTATATACTTAGGCTGTTCTAAACTTGAATCTTTCTTTTTTTGACAATTACAACAACATCATATATATGAGTAAACTAGAAAAATAAAGCTTTGATTCAACTTTAGACTCAAACAGTACTAAACTTCAAACAATTAAGTTGCTGTCTGATTTGTATGCTTCCAAGTTGGTGTTCTTTTTTCTATAAAAGCAGAAAGCCCTTCTTGTGTGTCAGCTAATTTCAAATTTTCCACCATAACTTTCTCTCCTTGTCTGTTAGGAAAGAGAACAAATATGTACGTTGGCTTAAAAATATAAATTTAAGGAGATTGAAAGCCGCTTTAAATAGAAAACCTGATGTTTCAGTCAGGTTTTTTTAAAACTAACTACAACTATAATGAAAATATCTGGTAACAAAAAAAAAACTCATTAATAATAACTATAAGTTACAGTAAAATGCCAATGAAATAGTAACAAATAAAAAAGAAATTTCATTATCTGTCAAGTGAAGTAAAACTGACAATCCATTTTAAACCTATTACTATCATTATCTATTAAGTATATTGTTTATAACCACTAAATACTTTGTATGAAGTAGAATTTTGTGTTAATGGCACAGTACATAAATGGTGAAATGATTCCTCCAGCATATACATGGATGGTTGGTGAAGCCATTTGACTTAATTTTAAACTATTCTATTTGGTCCTTTGCATAAAAGCACTAAAATGAAGAACATATGATGGCAAGGATGCAGTACAATCTGGGAATATTTCAATAACAACCCAGTTTAAAACAAAGGTAAATGTCAAGTTGAAATTACAGAAACTGTCAAAAGAGAAAATGACAGAGATGCTGGGTCAGCTGATTTGAATCCAAGAAATTGGGAACTAAACTTCAACAACTGTACTATGTAACAAATAACTTGTGGACAAAAGCCCAACTTTCTAAAAATCATCACAAGAAAATTTCCCAAATTGAGTGTAATAAACTGGAAGAAAGCAAACTGAAAAAGAGAAAAGGAAAATGTACCACTCTTGGCAGTGATGAACAATGCTAACCTAAACGTGTAGTCACCAAGCTACATGGGTAAATTTCTGAAGAAATGGAGCACAAAAAAATTATGCTCAGCCAACAAATTCCCAGAAAAATGTTCTGAAAATGAGTGCTCTAACAAATACATTTATTCAGGAGTTATTACCAACAACTTGTAGAAGAGACATGTTTTCACTGCCTTCTGCAAAGCTCAGGGACTAAAACTCCAGTTCCCAGGTAAAAAAAAATACTATATTTCATTTAATAATTTACTTATTAATTTGAAATATATCTAATTGCTCAAGCCATTTATATTACATCTACAATAAATAAAAACTCCATACTTTTGAATGCCTATATATTAAAACTGTAAATAAATTTAAACTTCTTAACCCTTTCCATACAGGTCACGGGTCAAAGGCCACGTCACTGCATTTGTTGACTCGCATTCAAACTTTTACTGAACTACTATTTCATGAATTTATGTTAATAAGTTTGGTATCAAACTGTAGATTATATTCAAATTTTAGTTTTATACATTACTCAATTTCATAATTTAAAAGTAAATATTAAAAACACAGTTAAACATCGATTTTTGTGTGTCACTGGTATGTTGA